ACACATGGGCAGTTCATTGACTTTCTTGAAAAAAATGTGAGGAAGAAAAAAACAATTAATCATTTCTGTAAAAAGGTTGAGGTGAAAAATACAAATTATGTAATTTTGGATGGGGAGAGAAGTGTCGATGATGCTGGGATGCGATGGGAATTGATCGCCTAGGGCCACAGTATGAATTCGTATCATCTCAGGGCCTCGGGTGTCTCCGGGAAACGTGTTTCGAACGAGCCGGCTGTCACTTCGTCTCGTGTCAGACGTCAAAGTGCCCATTGGGCTTCATCGCGCTGATGTGCTGAGCTACTATTTGAATTTTCATTACTTTCCATTTTTTTAATAATGAGGAAATGAGAATAAAAAATTGATTTCGCCGCGACAAACAATTTTATGAAAAGAATATGCATATCACGATTATTTTTTAGACTTTAAAATTCAAGAAACAGCAAAATAATTAATAATAATTAATAATAACTTTCAACACATGGAGAAAAAAAATTGTAGGAAAAATATCGTTAAAATAACGTCAAAATTATGGGACGGGCTAATGTATTATAAAAATTTAGTGTGAATAAATCGGGAAATTTATTCCACAACAAAACTTGAATTTAGAATCTTGGGAAAATTTCGAAAATTCGAAAAGGAAATGAATAAAAATTCTATTCTTAATATTAAGTTTCAATTTTCGATCGAATTGTGTAAAAGGAAAGAATTTCACGTGATTACCGAAAATAAATGGAATTCTCTCCCTGAACTATTCATAATTATGCAAAAATTACGAACGAAATTGAAGAATCACGAGGGGCATAAATCGACTGGCCAATGAGAGGCGAAACGGCAGGATTGGTGGGATCGCATTCGGTACTCAACAGCCATCCAATCTTGATGGGCCACACAGCTATTACCCTGAGGAACTCGTCCGATCGCTCATGCTAATTTTCGTAACAACAGCCCTTGCGCCAATAGGCGCCTTCGTATTCCTGCCGTGCGAGCCTTACAAAACAGCCCGTCCGGAGATGAGATTTTGGAATAAAAATGGAGAGAAAAAAATAACGAAAGGATAAAAAAGAAAATGATGGAAAAGGGCGTCCAGCCATGTTTGCATCCAAAACGATATGGGGAGGGAAAAAAAACACCAGTCGTAAAAGTTGGGGCGTAATATTTTTTTTTCGTTCAGCTCTTTTTCCCTTTTGAGAGGATGGGACGCACGTGGGAGAGGAGAAACGATCGAATGAGAGTCGAGACGGGATTGACAGTGATTTGGAGAGGATATTTTGAATTTTTATTTATTCGTGGCATCAAAATTGATATTTTAATTTTTTTTAAATGGTTGCTTTCGCTGATGGAAAGAGAAGAATTTAACAATGAAAAAAACTAGGTGAATAATTGAATTAATCACTGGAATTAAATGAATTTGCTTCTCCGCTTCAGTTGATGAGAGAAAAATGATTGAAGTGTGATTAAAATTCATTTGGGACAATCGTATGGTTTTTAAGTATTTAAAATGCTGAATGAATAATCGCTAGAGTGCAGCACATGCTTGGGAGGACAGCACCCGGCATCTTGAGGAATTTATTGAGAGTGAAGGCACGGAAATTATGTGGAGACTTTCCCGGATGGGCAGATTCTAATGAGGATGCTAAACAGGGCTCGGTATTGGAGATATCTTCAAGAAATGTCTTACCAGTCGACATTTTTAGTGCAGCGGCTGGGTGAGAGATGGCGGGATTAAACAGGATTACTAATTTTTTTTTCACCTACAGAAGTGTCGGATCAGATCCGATCAATTAGCCCCTCATGTATAGATATTCCAAATTTTTATTTTTTTCCTCATTGAAGTAGTTTTGAAGTAAATTGCGAGCTAATGAAAAACATTTGCTAGTTAGTACTTTTATTTAAATAAATTTTTGAAAAATCACCCCTGAAAAAAAAGGCGTTATCCCCCCTATTTCATTATTTCCAAACAATTTTATCACCAATCGGTAGCAAATTGTTTGAAGATTGTTGCGAGTTAAGAAAAATCGTCAATGCATTCCTATTATTGTGTAAATTAACAATTCCAATTTCAACTGAAGGCCCGAGTTGAAGACCCGAGTTTGTAGCAGCGATGTCAGACAAGATATGAATGTTTTTTTGAGCTCAAATGAAAGAGCGGGTCGAGAAATGGCGTGCAGAAGTCTTTAAAGATGACAAATCTCTCTAAAGATGATGTCTGTTTTCAATTGAAAAGCGCAATTGTGACAACATTTTCCAGTGGGTTCTAGGAGTCTCCCCTGGTTCAACACCATCTTTAGAGGTCCTAGCACGCCATTTCTCGACCCGCTCTTTCGTTTGAGCTCAAAAAAACATTCATATCTTGTCTGATATCTTTGCTACAAACTCGGGTCTACAACTCGGGCCTTCAATTGAAGGCCCGAGTTGTAGGCCCGAGTTTGTAGCA